TAAGAAATGCAGCCATAAATCTGTCATGCAGCATCTACACTCAACACTTGAATGAACAATAAGAGTGGCTACCAACAAAGAGACAAAAAGCTCCATATGTTTCTCTTCATTTCACACAGTCATACACAATGACTTCCAGTTTCAAGCTAAAAATACACCAAAACACAGTCATAAATCAAAGTAACTGGAAACATATAAGCTGTGCATAAGCACATGCGTGATACACGCCACGAAGTCAGATCATGTGAATTGAATTCAGGGCAAACTAGTTAGTAGAGCCCATATTGTGTGGGCAGCAAACACACAAAGGACCATGAATGCAAAGATATGAAGCAGTAATAGTGAAATCTCCTGAGTATTTCTATAGTGCCTGTCAAACACATGTGACTCCTGTTCTTCCCGTCTTATGTGGTTAGCCTACAGCTTCCCAGCTGTCCTAATGTCCTATTTCCCTCTCCTGACACACAAGACTGTCCTGAGCTTTAAGTACAATAAGGACTGAGTGATTTAAATACCGGTATTAGGAACAACCATTAGGAACATCCATGAAAGGTGGAACTATTGACTATATGGGAAGTACTTTAATTATAGCTACAGTATGTCAGTTTGAATAATTTGCCACTCATTTGCATAGGTAATCAAAAGTCAGTTAAACCAAAAGACTGCAGCACATATTTTATGTGAATGCCAAATTGAGGGGATTAATCATTTGTTCTGCCTCAAGCTTTTTCTGTTTACATCTATTTTTATTAGGAAATGAAGGTGATAAACCGAGACAAGTGGGAACCTGATTGCAAAGTTTAAGGATAATGATATGTGGCTTTTAATTATCTTTACAGATTAAAAACTGAACAGTGCAGTATCTACAGTGGGGCAAAAAAGTATTTAGTCAGCCACCAATAGTGCAAGTTCTCCCACTTAAAAAGATGAGAGAGGCCGGTAATTTTCATCATAGATATACCTCAACTATGAGAGACAAAATGAGAAAAAAAAATCCAGAAAATCACATTGTCTGATTTTTAAAGAATTTATTTGCAAAATATGGTGGAAAATAAGTATTTGGTCAATACCAAAAGTTCATCTCAATACTTTTTTATATACCCTTTGTTGGCAATGACAGAGATCAAACATTTTCTGTAAGTCTTCACAAGGTTTTCAAACACTGTTGCTGGTATTTTGGCCCATTCCTCCATGCAGATCTCCTCTAGCTCTAGAGCAGTGATGTTCTGGGGCTGTCGCTGGGCAACACGGACTTTCAACTCCCTCCAAAGATTTTCTATGGGGTTGAGATCTGGAGACTGGCTAGGCCACTCCAGGACCTTGAAATGCTTCTTACGAAGCCACTCCTTCGTTACCCGGGCGGTGTGTTTGGGATCATTGTCATGCTGAAAGACCCAGCCTCGTTTCATCTTCAATGCCCTTGCTGATGGAAAGAGGTTTTCACTCAAAATTTGACGATACATGGCCCCATTCATTCTTTCCTTCACACGGATTAGTCGTCCTGGTCAATTAGCAGAAAAACAGCCCCAAAGCATGATGTTTCCACCCCCATGCCCCACTGTAGGTATGATGTTCTTTGGATGCAACTCAGCATTCTCTCTCCTCCAAACACGACGAGTAGAGTTTTTACCAAAAAGTTCTATTTTGGTTTCATCTGACCATATGATATTCTCCCAGTCATCGTCTGGATCATCCAAATGCTCTCTAGCAAACTTGAGACGGGCCTTGACATGTACTGGCTTAAGCAGGGGGACACGTCTGGCACTGCAGGATTTGAGTCCCTGGCGGCGTAGTGTGTTACTGATGGTAGCCTTTGTTACTTTGGTCCCAGCTCTCTGCAGGTCATTCACTAGGTCCCCCCGTGTGGTTCTGTGATTTTTACTCACCGTTCTTGTGATCATTTTGACCCCACGGGGTGAGATCTTGCATGGAGCCCCAGATCGAGGAAGATTATCAGTGGTCTTGTATGTTTTCCATTTTCTAATAATTGATCCCACAGTTGATTTCTTCACACCAAGCTGTTTACCTATTGCACATTCAGACTTCCCAGCCTGGTGCAGGTCTATAATTTTGTTTCGGGTGTCCTTTGACAGCTCTCTAGTTTTGGCCATGGTGGAGTTTAGAGTGTGACTGTTTAAGGTTGTGGACAGGTGTCTTTTACACTGATAACGGGTTCAAACAGGTGCCATTAATGAAGGTAACGAGTGGAGGACAGTGGAGCCTCTTACAGAAGAAGTTACAGGTCTGTGAGAGCCAGAAATCTTGTTTGTTTGTAACTGACCAAATACTTATTTTTCACCATATTTTGCAAATACATTCTTTAAAAATCAGACAATGTGATTTTCTGGATTTTTTTTTTTCTCATTTTGTCTCTTATAGTTGAGGTATATCTATGATGACAATTACCGGCCTCTCTCATCTCTTTTAGTGGGAGAACTTGCACTATTGGTGGCTGACTAAATACTTTTTTGCCCCACTGTATTTATATAGTGTATAGAATGTATTTATATTTGAATAGCCACCTTTTTGTGAAAGTGCAGGTCCAACTGTATGCCTCTGACACACTCACACCTAAGGAGAATGTAGAGAAGCCAATAACCTTTTGGACCCATGCGTGCTCAGCTAGAACATGCAAACTTCATACAGAAAGACCCCGGGCCAGGAATCAAACCCCAAACCTTCTTGCTACAATGCAGCAGTGCTAGCCATTGCATGACCGTGCAGCCTATGTGCAAACCAATTTGGTTAAAACCATCAAAATGAGCAGATTTGAGAGTGGCCATAAAAGAAAGATGAAGTTCAAAGCCATGAAGATTGAGGTCACAATGATAGTTCTTAAAATAATAATTATTATGAAAATACTAAATAAAATACATATCGTTCACCTGATATAAGTAGTCAATCTTAAAGTTATACATAAAGAAGTAAAAATAAAATGATGAAAATAACTAAGAGTCAAGGTTAATATGAACAATTTAAAATACTATCATACTTCTATCAGTCTGCTGACTAATAGAAGAGCAGATTATAATCTATATTTTTTTTTTCCCTCCACCCACTCCTCTTAAACACGCTAATATACTGCAATACAGTGTAGGAGCTTAACAACTGAATAAAACATAAAGCAATGTTATGTTTTATTAAACCAAAGGAGGAAAATAAATCTTGTCGGAATGAGTGAGAAAAGCACCCAACCCCCGCCCCCCTGCATGAATGCCCTGCATTAGCAGTGTGACAAAATATAAAAAACACATTCACCACCTCAGTTCTGTAAGGCAGTGTTAAACACTGGGGAATATTCTGTGTATTTTTTTTTATGCATAGAGGTAATTATGGGAGAATTTATCTGATCCTACAGTTTCTTTATTTTGAGCAAATGTCTTTTGTCACACATTCAGTACAAGCCTTTGGTCAGCTGGTCGGTGTGCAAGGAGGAGGAACTATGCATATATGCATTATAATCGCTGGCTGCTTGCATAGATAATGATTAGACATCAGGTGACTGGTCAATGCTCATTGATGAGTTCAGTGGGAATGTGGGGCATCAGTGTTTGAGGCTATGTGAAGCAGTGCTCTGAATGTTAGGCGTCAGGGTAGTAGGGCACTACGTGATTTTTGAAGGGGAAATCAGAGTGACTCTTTTCATCCATAATCCCCAAAGAGAAAGAGGCCTAATCCCTTCCAAGAGTGTGTACATGTAATTATTGCTTGGCTAAAGCTAATGCATCTTCTTGTTTCCTCATTCCACAGCAAATGTTTAGCATATGTTGGTACTTTTTTCTCCTGGTGTTGCCATAGGTTTCAGCACTTGAAGCTCTTTTGCAATGGAGTGTATTTTTTTTTCACACGGGCTGTATATTTTTCCATGGCTCTCCCTGGGTTTATATTACAGTAATCAATTGATTATCTAAAATAAAAATCCCCTCTCTTATGCTGCATGGAAACAATTTAGCTCAGTTTATATTAATCATTTACATTCTTGGTTTTCTACATTTCCTTTTCGGCTTCGTGCTTTGAACTGAGGATCACCGAAGGTCCTTTAATCTACTTCTCTGAAAAGCTGAGAATCTACTCTTTTCTGATGCCAACATGAATTTAGTCCTAAGTCCAATAATGATTCAGTTTTTTGTTTTGTTTCCTGTAAATATCCTACTCAGTTTTCCTGTAAACGTACACAGATGAGTTGAAACATTTCCTGTCAGTTTTCTTTTTTACAAATCAGCTTTCATTTCATTAATGATAAAATATTTACTCTCAAAACTTCTTTGGTCTCAAATAAGCTTCTGCAATCAGTGTGAAAATGTTTTCTCTGCAATATATTTATTTTGATTTTAAAATGGTCTTCCCCTTTAAGCTAGCCTTTTTTCTTGAATTTAATAAAAACACAAAAATAACTCCATAATCTTTGGCCAGATGTGCAAGCATAAATTTCACACAAGTCTAAATTTAAGTTTGGAAAAACGACTGTCTTGGTCAGCTCAGTCTCAGTCCAATATAATGTGAAACATGCTTCACTGAAAAACAGTTTCACTGTCTTTTCAGTTGTTTCCTGGCAATGGCAGAATTAGGCATTGATTTACTGGACTGTTGATTTTATCTAGGTTCTAACTAATAAAGAATATGTAAAGGTGGGACGTGATGATGGCCAGGAGGTCTTTTTACCTTACAGACTTGGAGTGCTTCATCCAGGATAAAATCTCTTAATGCCAGTACCATAAGCTGCCTCAACAACGATAAGAGGAGTGTGATGGCTTTAATGCCAACAAAGACTTCTCAATGCATGTATTAAAAAAGCTCCACATATCACTTTTGTTAAAACGGAAAAAATTATTCACTTTTTTTGATGCTCCTAATGTTATAAAAGATTTTTGCTAGATGCCTGTTCCATTTTCTACCAGAAAGAAGTAAAATCATCAGTCAGAAACAAATAATTTAGGGAGTATCTGTATGTAATATATCCCCTATGGTCATTTAATTTCACAGAATGATTTATTCCCTACCTACAAAATCAGCATTCGATGAAGTTGAGGGCTGATCAAAGTTTCCAGTGTTACCGCTGAAACGGAGAATGAGAGAAATCTTTCAGAGAAAGAACTGGAATCAGACATTTACTAAACCATCTCTGTTCTGCAAACAGTTTAACATCTGCCTCTAGCTGTTGATGCAATATTCCTAACTGTCATTGTTTTATGTGGAGTTTCAGATCATTAGTATGATAATGACAAACAGTGTAAGCAAAAAAAATTAAAAGTGAATCAGCTGAAAAGAAAATAGTGCACAACTCTGCAAAATGATCAAAGCACTTCTCCGAAAGCGCAGCAATGTTTTCCAAGTGTTTGAAGCGACTGGCTCATTGTCAAAGCACAGTGTGCGCTCGCCAACCCATGGAGAATGGATGGAGGGCATATTACGGATACTGCTAGATCTTCTGCCCTCCACATGGCTTGGACGCTCAAACTTTCCAACTGAAAACTTCCGGTGCTCTGAGGATGAAGCAAAAGTGTATGAAGCTCATCCAGCGGTGTGAGTCCAAAACATGATGTGCCAAAAATCTAACAGCAAAGGCTTCAAGACACCTGCATTTTATCTTTATTTCTCAGGAATTAACAGATAAAGGATTGCTTATGAATGGAATACAGTGAATGAATTAAATGTGGATTTAGTCAGACATGTGGCTCACAGCAGAAGATTGACAGGAAAAAAATAAATCAGGGCTTTATGTGCCCCAGATCCAATACATACTGATTATTACAGCTATAAAACACATATTGGTTTAATAATTCCTCTCAAAAGACCATATACCTCTAAAACCATGGTTCATGTTGTCTTGTTAGAATCACCATCTTAACTCATCAAGATCACATGTGATAAACCAGAGGTCTCCTAAGTGTGGCTTGAGGACTGATAGAAGCCTTTGCAATTAGTGTTTGTGGCCAAAGACAATGATTTAAGATTGTAACATAAGCTAGGCAGGGGTTAATGGAGATAGACTCGGGATTATCTTCAGGCAAATTTTTTACACACAAAAATAAAATATTCTTCAAACACAACTTTTTTTTAGATACAACAGAATGAGTTGTCTTTTACGATTTCTGTTATTACTTGTCATTTATCTTTCCTTTTAATTTCATAAAATTTTCAGGACCCCAAACATTCAGGAGGCTTTTATTGAGAAAGTCAGTTTGTAGTCCTATCCACCCTTTAAACACACCAAAAAACACCAAGCATATTTAAAAAAGTGGGAATCCTATCCCTCTTTGTAATATACAGTAGACATGAAAAAAAAAGATTTTTCTAGATCAATAAAACAGAAAATATTCAACCCTAAAACTAAGCTCAGTGCAAGTCAAACAGTGAGACACTTTCTATGTTTCTTTTCTACAGTTACATAAATATGCATGTTTAGTATATTGAAGAGCAGGAAAAATGCATATAAAAAAAAATAAAATAAAATTGGAATTCATTCTAATTTTGTTTTTTAAATTTTCTGTTGCCATCTTTTATTTTATTTTCTTCGACAGTGAGAGAGTACTTTCAACATGAAAAAGGTTTGTAGTCAGTTGTGAAAGACAAACACAAACAACAAGAAAGACAGAAACTGATGCATGGTTGTCCATTTTTTTCTTATGAATGAAACTTTAATAATGCATACAATTTCATTAAACCCTATTAAATCGGATACACCTGAATAAATTCAGTTTAAATAAATACTGACTAAAAGACCAAGAAGATCACACAGACAACATAATATTATAATGGAACCATCATTTTTTCACCTAAACCTAGCACAATGTAAATTTACTAGAATATATGTGGGGCAAAGATCAACATTTGGTTTTACATTATTGTAAGCAGGCGACCAGCTCATGCCAGTAAAACCTGGTGTTTCTCATTTCCTACAATGAAAGACTGGGCAGCTAAAGGGAAAGCTGGAACAAAACTTTAAACTATGTACATGTGTGTCTAAAAATAATAGAAAATAAAAATAAAAGGAAAAAAATCTAAAGGAAATGATTCATAAAGTGCACAGGAGATGGCTGGCAGAGTTTAAAGGAACAGTAAGTCTCTGGAGGATGTGAGGATTTGGCAGCTGGATTCCGATGTGAGAAGAAAAACATTTTCAGGACAAAGTGCAAAAGTGAATTCAGGAACACGTCAGATACAGCAAATTAGGAGATAGGGAAAGAACAGGAATTAGGAAAGGAAAAAAAGATAAAGACACAGGAAGCTTTAGAGACAGACAAACATGTAGAGATTGAGACAAGCTGCACGCGGACAACATCCAAAAGAAACAAACCTTTCATCAAACAAAACTGAAGAGGGTCTAAATTGTGTCTATATAAAAAAATGAGGGAGTTTGGGGTACAATGTGGCTCACTTTTGATCTTAGCTGTATAAATCAAGGGTCAAAGTGTGGGAGTCTGAAGACAGTTTGTGACATGGATCAGAAGGACATAGTGAGCGATGCCTCGGATCCAGATAAACAGGAGGCTTTAGGCATAAACAAGCTTTTAATCTGATTTCTACCTTATTTGGCTATTGTTTCAGTTACAGGATGAGCAACAGCATACACAGAGAAATATCACTGAGCTAAAAAGTCAGAGTTTTAATGTCTTATACTTTAGAGCCCAACAAGATACTTTGACTTCATCAGAAATCAGTAGATTGTTTTTTTGTTGTTTTAACTTATCTTTTTAATTGCTCCTTTCATCCAGGCCAAATTTCCCAAATTCAGATCAGCTGCTTCCTTTTCCTGGTACTTTTCCTATCTCATCCACAGTCTATCATGACCCTTCTCTACAGTCTGGTCTCTAAAATAATACACACTCATGAACTCATGAACTCACCTGCCCAGCATGCTAGAGGAGGACACAGGTTGATACAGCTGGAAAGAAGAAGCTGTAAAAACAAAAAAAGATAATAATCAGCATCAAGGCATCAAACTATTTCATCGTACTGGTTGCATTTGAAAGCCGTTTCTGTTCAGTGGAACAGTGGGTAGCACTGCTGCTTTGCAGAAAAAAAGGTTTGATTTCCGGCCCGGGGTCTTTCTGCATGGAGTTTGCATGTTCTCCCTGAGCATGCATGGGTTCTCTCCGGGTACTCCAACTTCCTCCCACAGTCTAAAGGACTGTTAGGTTAATTGGCTTCTCTAAATTCTCCTTAAGTGTGAGTGTGTGTGAATGGTTGTTTGTCCTATTTGTGTTGCCCTGTGATGGACCGGCGACCTGTCCAGGGTGTACCCTGCCTCTCGCCCATAGACAGCTGGAGACAGGCACCAGTAACCCTTGCGACCCAATCAAGCATGACAGAAAAAATGGTTTAAGTTCTCAGTGGCTCTTCATAGGAAAATATTTAATTTAATTCACTTAACCGGCCAAGGCAGGAAATAAAACCTTTAAGGAGAAGCACTAATTAGTGGCTGTTGAGGGCCAGATAATTTGCTCCATGGGCCTTGAGTTTGACACTATTAAACGTAGAAAAACAAATAAGTGCATTTTCAAGTTTTCAGACTTTAAACAGAATACACGATTTAAACACACACACATTCTTCATGCGTATATAGCTCAGAAGTTTCATTAATCAGGATCTAAAGGTAAATTTAAATATCGTTTTTTGGAAACATTTATATAATTGAATTATTTCCAGATTGTACAACCCAAACCTGCGGTGTGAGAAGGACAGCACTGCTTATGTCAAAGTGAAGTGGGAAAAGGAAGGTAATCTAACACTTCCAAAGGAAATTTGGGACCTTATCTATTAGATTCAGTGAATGATGAAAAAATGTAAACATGTTGTGTGAAATATGTTGGAAAAGCATAATAAGATTTGACAAACCCCCTGTTCAGAAAGGACATCAGGAAGCGGGTACCTGTTGGTGATGTCGAGGAAATGGATCCAACTATTTCCATGTTTTTTGGAACTTCCATCATTCGGTCTTACACGTTTCAAATCAATTGACAGATTATGTTCTGATCTGTTTCTTTTAACCTTAAAAAGCATATTTTTCTGTTACATATCAGTGGACAAACTAAACTCTAAGGATAAAAGACTTTTGTAAATTTTAATAACCTGAGGACTGGATTAATGCAGTGAAAGAGATCAAGGTCTTGGATATTTTTCTTATCTTTTTCTGTCACAAAGTAAAGCGACACTTTTCACAAAATATGCTTGTTTCGTGTACTCTGTCCTGAAATTACGGTAGATATCTTAAGGACACCACAGACTGGCATCACAGAATTCACCTCTTATTTCTGTGGTCTGGTAGCTGGCCTCCACTCCAGTTTGAAGTTTGAGCTTCAGCACAATGTATCCAGTGTTCTTTAAATGTTTTTATTTGTATTATTTGATAGGGCATAGGTACAACAACACAGACAAACTGTTGTGCAGAAGTCTGATATCTGCATCATACAGTTTATAGCAGAAGCTAATTTACTGCACAATGGGTTTACATGTCAGAGTTATAAGTACAATACAGTAACATAAGAAAGTAGTAAAGATGCCAAATGATGCTTAAACAGCGCACTATGGCATTTACCAGGGGCATAACCAAATTAAGACATTATAGCCATGTATCAATGCTGACCAGTGAAACTTCAATTAATATAAAAAATATATTAAAAAAAAGCAAACAACAAGAAAAAATTTCAATATATCATATAAAATGCCATTGGGGAATTCAATGAGAAGCAATCAAAGAACTATATTTTTCAACCCGAAAACTCCCAGAATTGTGGGACCCTAATCAAGACATTTCTAATATTATTGGCTGAATACTGGATCAAATAATTTAAACCAAGTAATATGGACATAGAGAGGGCATGTTCAACATGTGCATGCTGTTACAGGTTCAAGTCATTTCTTTCTCCAAAGCATTTCCTGTCTACGGTAAGAAAAATACTACAAGATAATACAATTGGTGGTCTATAAAAAAACTGTAAAGAAAACAACAGCTTGCTAAAGAATGTCGGTGCCTTGAATATATTCATATCATATGGTGATTATTTAAGATTTTACCAAATAGCGCATACTGCAGGTGTTATCAGTGCTAGATCTACTGTAGTGATCAAAAGGGAATGAAAAGGTCTTTGATAAGACAAGTAAGGATATCCCACAACTTTATAATAATATTTTATTTAAAAACAGTTTAAGTGTTATTCATTTTTTATTAACAACATATTGTAAGGCTTTTATTGTGTACAAGTTAAAGTATTAAAATAAGAGCAACAAATGTGGCCATTATTAAGCATCAGCTCCAGAGATCACTCTCTTCACGGTTAATGGTCTAACTTATGATAGTGCACAAATTTTATGAGAGCTAGCAAAACAATCAACCACAAATTACATACTCAACTTGCTTTGAACAACAGCTTTCACACAAAAGAGTTGAGAGTAAACACATGGCAAAAACACATTAACATCTGGATACTATGCTTTCAGGGGGGGGTTTCTAATAATGACCCCTAATGTGAGAAAAGCTTAGTGCAGCTTTTCAAGATAGAGGACAATTAAGTAGTTAAAACAGATGGAATAATGATATGAGCCATTGCACAAATCCTGTACTTTGCCCAGAGGACCAAGCTAACCCCTAATGTAACAGAAAAAAAAAACAATATATCTATATCTATATATATATATAGATAGATATATATATATATTTTTTTTTTCCCCAAACAGAAGTGCCATACAGTTGAGAGAACAAGGACACAAGATCTCTGACATACGGTAACACACAGAAAGAAAATGTGTTTTCAAACTTCTAAGTCTTGGTCACAAAAGCCAGAAGTGAAGGGCTGGGGGGCTTCAGGTGATCGCTTTAAAGACCGCAGACAAAGAGAGCGTGTTGTGATTCATCAGATACATGCACCTGAGAGCCGACTCATCACAAGATGAAGTCACTGCATAAAACACCTCATGAATACTAAGCTACATGTTTATTCACCATTAAAAAGAAAATAAGCAGTGCTTGCTTCATACAATGGGGCACAGAAATAAACGTGCATTTACAATAAACACCAGCTTGTCTACACAGATGCCTTCAAGGTTAGCATGAGTAATTGTTTCTACCTGCAGTGAGTGTTTGATAAGGACTGTACTTTTATGCTTGGCAGCATATGAGAGAGTTAATAGCTAAGGGCTAATGGCTACCGACTGTGTTTGCGTGACTTTGTCTCATGCTAACGTTTCACAGAGGTGCAGGCTGCAGACTCTCAGATGGAGCTGATAGTTTGCTGTAAACCAATGGGTGCTCCTTTCCAGAGCATAAGAATATGCTTCTACAGTAGAATATGGTGCCCTTTATTCTTCAGCCTGTAATATTCATCTTTTAACTTAACTGATTGCACATACCAAAGCAATTGTTTTCCGATAAAAAGACGGATAATACTTTACTGTTAAATATCAACACATTTTAATAAAACACTTGAGAATTAAAAAAAATTGAATATTCACTCAAACTCCCAGTGCTAACATTAGCGTTTATGCAGCATACATCAAATTGTTAAATTCACTACCTGAGCGAGCACCACTCAATATCAACAGCTGTGCTGCAAAGATAAGCATAACTTTCAGGTCTGTGGAATATCATTTTCTCCATCTGAACATAAAACACTTGGTCCTGTCATTATGTACAAGGCTGATAAGGCTACTGCTACAAATAAATGATATGGATACTGTATCCTTTTCATCTCATAGATGGTTTTAATAAACTTAGTGCTTATCTGTTTAAACAGTGTTTCTCTCCTCGATGAAGCCACTAACTGAGCAACTGCTACCATTAAGTATGTGTACTTTCTCCTTTAGCATCAAAATTGCCCTTGCAGCAGTAATCTGTATTTCTCTGTTGCTTTTCCTAAACCCACAGCTAGTCACAGCAGATAGCCTGTAAAACTTTGTTGGGTCCTACTGGAAGTTACTTCCTATATAAATAGCAGTTTTTTTCCATTTTTCACATAGAAGGAGAGATCATCTCTTGAGGTCTGTGGATTATAATATATATGGCGACGCATAGTAATGCTTCACATAGTGCTGCTGTATTGATAAACTAGCATTGAGGCTTAAAACGAAAAAAGGGGAAAAAATCATGTTGATATTTTTTTGCACAGCGGGATGTAGCCAGAACCGTTAATGTGCCCGCCGCCCTGACTCTTTATTGAGCCAGACCACAAACAGCTTCGTCCAGAAACAGACAAGACTCCGACGGTTATGCCAGTCACACACATAGGACCAATCTGGAGACTGTCAGGGTTCCGTGTTTTGTGCTCTGCTTATTCTCTTCCACAGGTGGTTTTTGTTGACAGGTGGGCGTGGTCCCACACCTGCAGCTTCTTGAGGCTGCTCTGCTGAGCTCAAGAGGAGCGTTCAGTCAGCTGAAGGACGCCAGAGTGGTAAACCGTTGTGGTATGCCTAGGGCTCTGTCCTGTCGACAGATCTCTGAAACCTGATGTTTTGAATTCCTGATCCTAACCTGTCTCCTGTCTCCCTCAGTTCGTTGAGCTCTGGTTTGCTCACCTGCCGGTCTCCATGCTCTGAAGACTGGTCTCTGAATCCCTGCTGCTCAGATTCTGCTCTGGCGTTCCCCTCGAGCCCCCTCGTTGCTACCGAGCCAGACAAGAGATAACTTTCCTGGATTCACACTGGTTCCTTCAGCTGCTCCTCGAACCTGCCTCTGCAGTGCAGTGCTGCTCGGGCCCCCGCCTACAGTAAGTCCCACCTGTCGCTCAGCTACCTCCTCCCATCAGAAAGCTGTGAGTTACAGATCGAATTCCTTCACTCACCCTCCCTGGATAAGTCATCCGTACCTGGCGGTAAGCAGAGCAGCAACAGAGCAGGTTTCTTTAGCTTTTTCTAGTCTTAATCAGTTTCTTCTTTCCTCCCGTAGAACCCAAAACACTGATGTTCCAAACCTCGCCTGTGGCTACCGTTCTGAACCATTCAGAAACTGCTCCTTGTTTCCCCGTCTATGTCTGCATGTGGGCCAAACTTCTTAAAACCATGACAGAGACTGTCTCCAAAATTCCCAAGAACTTGGAGAAGGCGAGCAGCATTGCAAAAGCTAATGCTACTCTTAGTGTGACAAATTTACACCCATAGTTGCAACAATAGAGCCAATTTAGGTTAGTGGTGCGCAACATGGAGGCATACTGCAAACTTCCTCATGAAAAATACTTCACAGAGAAATAAATCCAGTACCTTTACTATCAAATCAAGGCAACCCTGGAAAAAGTTAAGTAGGTCAAAGTTCAAACTGTCATACAGACATAAAATAAAATGTTTTGTTTTTTAAAAATAGTCTGATGTTCAAAAAGCCTTCGAATTTTTGTTAAGTAAAGTCAGAGGAACTGAGTTAATGGGTGACTTATTTACAAATCTGACCACAGATGAAGAGAAAATTAATCTTGCATGGAAAAAAGCATTAAAATGTACATAATTGAAGAATCATGGCACTGATGATCAAATCAAATTGACAAAGAAATAAAAACATTGATGCTTCCACAAAGGCACCCTTTGTGGAATAGTCCTTATTTTTACAAAGTAAGTGACTTTATGCCACCAGGATGGTTCCCTAACATACATAACATTTCACTAGTTGTCTGTATAATCTGAATTTCACTGTATTATATTATGACCAGTATCAAACTAAGCATATTTGATTTAATTACAATCCATATACATGCATATCCTTAGAACGCTGTGAGTAATTCAAATGTATTACCTGTATGAAATTGGGTACAAATTTGTTCGATAATTGGGTTGAGAAAATGCAGTTGTGTGATACAAAATCACCCAGACCTCTACATCATTCAGTGCTATAGTCGGATTTGGTAATTGAGCATTGTCAGAAACTCAATACAACCTTTTCATGAACTATTTGAAAGCCATCAGGAAAACAGTAAACATCTAAATCACAACCGCCACGCTCCTGTTCACTGATATATTTTGCCTTATACTGTTAAAATCCAAAAGATTACGCAGCTAGCATGTTCTCTTTATATCTTTATGTTTTTATATCTTCTATATCTTTAAATTTATATCTTTATATATATATGTATATATATATATAATTTTTTTTTTTGCTGTTAGCTTTTCATCTATTTTGTGGTTTCCGTTAAAGTATTTTTTACATACATTTTTTAAAAATTCCTAAAAAAGATATTTTCTCATAATTGTTTTTTAAATATTTTTTAAACAACAAAATTATTACAAATTACTTAAAATGAATGTGGTATTTTATTGCTGGTGGTCAAAGGGCCAATTGACATCATACATGTCAGCTGTCACATACGTACAAATGTGTAAGTGACTGATGAAGCTTTGGACTTCTCAGATTTGATGAAAGCCTTATACAAGTGCAGGTCGTGTACCATCATATTTATCATTCCTTTGCTTCGTTCAATGTCTGCTGCAAAAATGGAACACATAAAATCTCACCATTAATGCATGTTGTCAGAGAACATTTGGTGATCTTGTAGCCTATTTAGAAAAAACATGGGCTTAGCTAAGGTTAAGCTCTGTTACTGACCATAGTGACCTACTAACCAGCTGAAGGAAGCTGAAGCTGCAGAATTGCATCCTTAAGCTCCTTAGTTCAGCGTGAATTCTCTGTTGAACGTATAACTGATAGGAGTTGAGCCTCAGGTATAAACTTATAATGACATAGTTCTGCAGCACAATCTGCACCTAACAAATCTATCTGGCATCTGATGTGACCTCAGTAAAAAATATTATCAACAGTGTTTTTATCTGCCCCTTACCCACAGCCAGTCTGCTCAGCACATTTTCATGCTGGGAATATGCAGACCAAGCACTTTGTTCCCTTTTATTTATTTATTATTTTTTTCTTTTGTAAGGTCTATTTTTATCACGTTAGCCATTTGCATTTGAGAGAAGGTTGTGACTGTAACTTAAAGAACATGAGTAGCCTACACAGAGGAAAGCGACAAATATACACTTCAAAGCAAGAGTTTTCTGTTCAAAGCTGCAGACAGCAGGATGTTTGATATTTTGCTTGCATTACCAGCCCGGGCATGGCTTTGCTGCACGATATGGGGCTCACAGGATGAGGGGTAAGAGTTGGACCCAAGCTGATGTTTCTATTTTGGGGCCTTTGAAGAAGAAAATATGTTATGTCCTTAGCTGTTCACTTTCGCCAGGAAGTCCTTCTGGATTTCTATCTCATTCCCTTTAAAAGCCAAGAGGAAGTCCTCTGACAGACAGACCTGATGGACCCCCTCCTGGATACGGCTAAAAACACCTGGCTGAATACAGACCTGATTTGAAACCATATAACTCATCATAGTCTGCTGCAAGCACACACACATGCACAAATGCATGTATCAGTCTTCACTTCTCTACTTGGGCTGTATATTTGGATATGAGTTGCAGGTTAACAAAACACCCTCAGAGTGCAATGAGGCATTTGTGCAGCTGCATGACGAGGGGTGGTTCCCCTAAGGCCCCATACATCTAAAAAAAAAACTCTGTGTTTGATGTAGATATGATTCATCTGCTCCTAAATTATATGAAATGTTTACGTTTATACATATATAATTTATTAGCAAATGGTGAAGCATGGTGACTTACATTGTGGAGGCACAAAGGGGAGCAGAGTGTTGACATTCAGTGAATGATGCAAATCGAAATTGGCAACATTGGTCTTCTTGTGGGTAATCCCACCAGCCTCCTGTCATGCAACAAACACAATCAAATTACAAACAACACAATCTACAAACAGAAAACTAAAATGTTTGACTTTAGTTACTGTATCATGTTGGTCATTCACAAATAACTACAAAACAGGAAGGGTTAGTGTGGTTTAAATCAAGGGGGAAAGTTTTTGTCTTACTTAAGTTGAAGGGAAACCTTTTGTGTCTACTTTTTGTGGCAAAACAAGTGAAAATACAATTTAACAACAAAAAAAGGAAACTCATTCATACAAATATATTGCTAATATTGGTATTGGAACCTCTGTGTGTCTATCCTGCAGCACCGTATTATTAAACAGGAGTGGGGTAGGAAATACTGAGGCAACTTTTACTTAGTTAAGAGTGTTAGGTATCTTCCTTGAATTGCCTGCAGCCTTTTTAAGGGTGGTCAAATTGAAACAAAAAAATGTAAATTATCTTCCTCATTTTAATACCTATGAACCTTTCAAAGACTCGGAGTGCCCTATTGTCAGGTTTAGTTGATACTTGTTGAGGACCCAAATGCAGAAATGGAAGGCAGAGATGGTTTCTTGCAGATTTAATGATGAAGTAGACGGTAACAGAAACATAAATCCAGAAAATACAGGCAAGGAACTCAGAAACAAAAACTAGGAGAAGCTCAGGAGATCCTTATATAAAGAATGAAGAAAATTCAGCACCGAGTAACTGCAGAGGGAGAGAATATAAGGACGACAGAACAATGAATGGTGTAATCAGCTAATTGGAAGCAGGTGTGGACAGAAGTGGCTAGAAACACACTTTGGAGAAAGGAAAAAGGGACTAGGGGGCAAGAAAGAGTAACCAGGGAAAAAACAAGGGCTTAATTGTGACCAGAAAATAACTTAAATTAAACTAAAGGGGAATACAACTAATGACTACAAACTGAAGGATGACTAAGGGGAAAGGTAGAGGATAAGGGAACGCACTGGGATAAACTTAGGATAACTATGAAGCCATGGAAACCTAACCGAAAGATAACAGACAGTGGTACTTTTAATTACTATGTTATTAACAGTGTATATTTCATTAGACGGTTGGTAAAAAATGCATATGATATGTTTCAAACTGCAATAAAGAGCTTAAAAGAACAATGTATTTGAGTATTTTAATTTTTTTACACTACGACTTGGAATTATGGGTAATCCATAGCATAGGGGGAATGGGGTGTTGTACTTCATATGGGGCCCACTTAGATAATGTTGCTTACGGGTTTACTATTGCGTCGCTACCCCATTGATAGGACCTGAACCCAATCGAGATGGTTTCAGGGTGAGTTGGACCGCAGAGTGAAGGCAACAGGGCCAACAAGTGCTAAGCATCTCTGGGAACTCCTTCAATACTGTTGGAAGACCAGATGACTACCTCTTGATCTCATCAAGAGAATTCCAAGAGTTGGCAAAGCAGTAATGAAAGTACAAGGTCGCTACTTTGAAAAACCTAGAATATAAGACATATTTACAGTTGTTTCACACTTTCTTGTTAAGTATATAATTCCACATGTGTTAATTCATAGTAAATTGTAAATTTTGTAAATCATAAATTATTATAAATATATACATTTTAAACAGTATTACTGATTGTATAAAAATTCTACATTTATAGATGTATAAAACTTCTGTGTTAAAATATCATATTTTTTAGCTATCCATATTTTTACTGTTTGCACTTATTTTCTTATTTCTCTCTTTAATATCTATTTAGCAAATGATTATAACATTGTTTTTGATTTAAAGATTTTTATTTGGTTCTATCATGACTTAATAAGTAAAGGTTAACGGTTGTAACTAGATGGTTGTGACAAAAGAAGGCAGAGGAACTGCATCCTTTTTTAGTGCATGAAGGGATTTAGAATTTTCTCTTTTATTTGCCACCCATCCAAAGTTATAAATAGCTTTAGAGGGTGTCTTTTTCCCTTATTAGACAAACACACATTACCTGAGTATATTTGGCAGCATTGCTGCCAAAAAGGCACGCTTCCGCTTTGCTTCTGCTCCCAGCTCTGCCTCTTCTCCTTGTACATTTAGCTTTCTTTCTTCTGTTGATCATGTAATAAAAAGCACATTAGCACACAGTGTGGTCGAACATTTAGGTAACATTTATGCAATACATCACCAAAAACTTGGTCACCAAGGCCTTCTTGAATCCTCTTTCCAATTAGGCTTAAATCATGAGCATATGGTATGTGGATGTGCACTTATTTTAAAAGCAGCACATTAGTTTGGCCTAATCTCCCTCCCACTGCCCCTATATCAACCCTCCACTGGTCCATTAATGCATTAAACCTCCTTATCTGAGTCAGTTTGCCTTTTTCTTACTACAGTCTTTTACAAAAATCCAACCCTCCTAATCACACATACACTTTCTAACACACAACCTGACAGAAGACACACAAGAGAAACACACACACTGATGGGACACTAACCTCTTTCTGTCACTGGAACTCAATCATAGGGAGGGGGGGGGGGGGGGGGGGGGGGGGGGGGGGGGGGGTCATATGAAAACTCCTAGCTAAAGCTTTGTGCTTTTTAAAATTCAATGCAATTTGTTTCCCAACATTTCTTTGGACTTGGAGGTAAAACTGGAGAAAAATGCAAAAAAATAGGTAATAATAGGTAGCGTCACTGAGGAAGATGACAGTATGGCTTTCTGCATCCCCTCTGGTCCTGCTTTGTTATATAAAGTGAGGTAGATTCATGACCCTCCATAGCACTGAGATTTACATGACCTCTCCTGAAGGGTAACCTTGCCGATGGTTAAGAGCATCATCAAGAAACTCTTATTGAATAATATGTACTGGCATTTCATCTAGGCTGATACTGATGCCTGTGGTTAGCTTCTTCACTAACTTTAAACTAAAGGACAAGTAGTGTGGGGGGAGATTTTAGTACGATCATTGCCAGGAAACACTATTGAATCATTATATGTCTGACTGAGTGATATTTAAAATAAAAGGTTAACCATGTAGAAGTTATTGCACTTTACTTAAGAAACACTGTCAGTTAATGCCAATTTAACCTTGACAAACGGACACAGAGAAAAGCTGTTATTAGAAAAGTTGTATTGACATGAATAAAATAAGTTCTTTGAGACATTGACGCTTTGAATTGACATTTGCTTGGATTAATAACCTAGGAGAAGGATTAACCTCTTGGACACTTCTTGGATCTTGTAGGGGCGAGTGCTGAGGACCCAAATTTGGGTCCTCATGTTAGTAGTCTTCCCCAGATACAATTCACCAAATTTGGGAGCTTGTTAGGTACTGTTTCATTTTACTTTTTTTTGCCTGTTTAGGATCTGGTAACATCATTGCTGAGTAGGGGTAAAGTATGATATGAAATAAGAATATATGTGCTGAGGGGGAGCAGGAAAAAGTTAAATCTAAAGTCTGACTATATTTAAACTAAGGACCAGAATTACCATGGCCACTAAAACTAAAATATAAATGTACTATTTACAAATTATTTTAAATTTTCCCTTTGGGAAAAATTAAAATAAATAACCTTAAATCAATCATGAAGTCAGTGTTGTTTATCTCTTGTTTCCCCTGATGCGAGCTGTCATTCTATGGGCAGTTATCTTCCTGTTCCCTAATCCTGTGCATAGGATCTGTGACCCAAAGCTGGGAAACGAAAGGAATGTGTCTCATCTGCATAACCTAATACAGTGATCTGACAGCTTTGTATAACATACCCTCAAAGCTATGAATTTTTGTTTTTACTGTTGTTGTTTTAACTTTGGAAATTTATTCACAGCTTTTAATCTCACCACCGTAGGAGCTGGGAGCTAGCAGAGAGCAGGTGACCATAAGGGGACTGCCTGCATCAGAACTACCCTGATGAATCTGAACAGTAAATATTCACTATCCAACTTAAACAACTAATTCATTAAGTTGTTAAGTGCTTGTCTTAAATCCTTTTTCTTGCTTAGAGAAGAAAAAAAAATAATCTTCAGGCAAGCTTTGTACCAGATCAGAATAACACCTTTCTCCTCTCTGCTTCTGTCACTGTCTCATTAGGTTAGGACCCTGCAACCGTTATATTCTCCCATATACAATTATACAAACATACAGTATACAACAGTTACAATATAAAAAATATACATATTTTCATTTTCTGTATTTTTTAAAGTTATTCATATTTATTTTTGTCTCCTAATAATTTCTTTAATCAGTTAAAGTCACACAGTAAAAGTTAATAGCAGCACTATTTTTTTGTTTTTCTGTTAAAAACAGAACGGGGTCACAGTTCATGTCAAACGCCTAACAGAACAAATGTCAGAATTAAATTAAAATTGACAACCCCTGGATTTACTTGGATCATTTTACTAAATATCTATTTTGTAAAACAACAATAATTTGCTGAGCAGAGTACTAAACAGAAACAGCTATTTCAGTGCATCTCCTGCAGCTGTAATGCAGCTGTAAGGCAGCTGTAATGCCAGTACTCAAGTTGAGGAAGGATGGGGGTAGGGGGGTGGGGGTAGTGGCATCCCCCTTTTTAAAAAAATCTTAAAAATGATCCCCCTTCTTAAATGACCATCCCCCCATACCTGAATGTGTACAATTTCTACTATGTACTGTATTAACAGTAATTGCAATAATATCACCCTAACAACATTCGGTTGGCTGTGGGCTTACAAGTAGCCTGAGCAAAATAAATAGATAAATAAATAAATATGAAGCTGATCCCAGTTGGAAATTTGTCACTAACTATGTAGGGGAAATGATAGCCATGCTTGTTCTGGAACTGACTGCAGTTCTATTGTAAAGTGCCTTGGTCAATTTCAATGACCGGCGTACCTAACATGTAAAAACCATACCATGCATACTGATTTAGGTTAATAGACTATATAAATCAGGCAATGTATGCTTTGAAAAAAACAAAATTCCACTATCCCCCTTCTTTTTCTACAACTAGACTACTGTGTAACACTGAATGCAATACTGTTATGATGGATGAACAAGGATGTGCACAGTCAGACCAAACGTATCTCACTGACCTGCTGAATTTCTGAGATGGTCTTCCTGATGCAGATCGCCGAGACGCTGCTTCTTCATATTCAGCCTGCTGCCTCTGTAGCCCAGGCAGTAACACAAAAGTCACATTCAAAATGTTTCTTTCTTTTCCAAGAAAATAATTTCATATTTTTATCATTAATATTCATAATATCTTACCATGACTTTAGTAATATGTCTTTGAAAGGCTTGTACTTTGTATTGCTTAGCGCAGTATGCCCTCCAGCTTTCTTCATCAAAACCATAGTTAAAGTAATTAGAGATATCAGCCCCTAAAGTAAAGAAATGTTACCAAGTTAATATCTGTATGGATGGTTTAACTGGTGCAAAATTTGTTGTCATGTAGATTATATACAATAACCGATTTACCTGGTCTCCTCCATGGCTTCTCCTCTAGAGGCCTCATATTCTGGTATGGCTGCTGAGCATCATAAATATTCTGAAAAACATCCTTGTCTTCTGACAGGGATTTTCACATTTTAGGAAAACATAAAGGTTTAACTGATGAATATATTTTTAATGAGCATGCTGAAGACTAAAGTAAAAAAAGTGTAAAGTAACAAAGTATTTGTATTTGACACCTCTGTTTATAAGGTCAACTGTTTGAAGGCTAAAAACAAATTGCTTAATTTCTTTGAAAATGTCGGATTTTTATGTTTTTATTTCATTTGTCCTCCTGGTCATCTTTAAAATGTTAGTAAAAGCCTTACCAACTGCATCTGTTCCCGTTTCAGAACTGCATACCGGATACACAAGTGTTTGCCCAGAGCTGCAAGAATTCACATGATATAGCTGTTATCTCTATGGGAAGAGCCAAAGGCCTAATTCCAAATGGTGCTTTGAAATGGAGGACCAATACATCATACCTCCTGCCTCCTTTACCAAAAACAATCTCTAACCTACATCTTGACAGAAGTGGATTCCTGACAAACACTATAAGCTGATGAATATGTCCTTCAATAAAACAAAACCTACTACAACAATCTAAAAATAGACATTTTATACATGATTCATATGCATAGCCTCATGACTACAGTTTAAGAAACATCAGCAGTTTTGTTATCACTGACCAAAATTCTGCTTTAGATTTCCAAAAAAATGATTCTCTATATTTTTTATTTCATTCTTCTTGTGTAATTCGAACAATTATCTTGCATGCAGGGTAAACCACAGATAATTCTGAAGTGCTGATGTTATTTTACTATTTACAAAAAATTTTAAAATAATGAGTAAAAATTAAAATGACCTTTTAAATGTCAAAATAATATTCTAATTTCTGCTAAAATTATAATTTTAATCAAAAGCTAAGGAATTCTTTTATATTTTAAATGTCTTATTTCTACCACAGATTCAAATGTCATTTTAAGTGCACTTCAGGCAACAGCTAATCTGAGGGAAAAAGCCTTGAGGAACCATTCAACTGAAATTATTAATGCTGCATTTTTACAGTTGTTTGGATTCATATATCTAGCCTATAAAAAACCGCTTCCACTCTGGCAAAAGGTTTAATGAGCATTATATATATCTATAACATTCCAACATATCCACTTCACAGTGGTGCCACGGCAGCAAAGTTCTTCAACTCTGCTGCCGTGGCACCAGCACTTACTCACTGCCGGAACTATTCCTCAGCTTTGCTGCCGTGGCAGCACCGCTGACTCACTGGCGGAACTATTCCTCAGCTGTGCTGCCGTGGCAGCACCGCTGACTCACTGGCGGAACTATTCCTCAGCTGTGCTGCCGTGGCAGCACCGCTGACTCACTGGCGGAACTATTCCTCAGCTGTGCTGCCGTGGCAGCACCGCTGACTCACTGGCGGAACTATTCCTCAGCTGTGCTGCCGTGGCAGCACCGCTGACTCACTGGCGGAACTATTCCTCAGCTGTGCTGCCGTGGCAGCACCGCTGACTCACTGGCGGAACTATTCCTCAGCTGTGCTGCCGTGGCAGCACCGCTGACTCACTGGCGGAACTATTCCTCAGCTGTGCTGCCGTGGCAGCACCGCTGACTCACTGCCGGAACTATTCCTCAGCTGTGCTGCCGTGGCA